ATATTTTTTATCATTTTCGAACAACAGACGTGTAATTTTTACAAAAAATTCCGGTTTCACACTTCTACACCTGGTATACCCGAGTCAGCTGACGCTCTTCGTTACATAGTTACGAGACGTGGAGTCAACCGAATTACGGAAACAGATGATCCGTCCGATGAAGCCGTAAAAGGACAAAAGGATGCAATTCACTCTTAAATGTTTTACTGAATTATTCCATTAATGAAGAGAAATTTGTTGACCAACCCCAAGCAATTGAAAGACAACCAGCCATAAATAATATTAACGAAGAAATAAATGTATGTGCGAAAAAATTAAACATTGAAGAGTCCTTGAAGAAATCGAATTGGAAGATGACTCGAAAAAAATCAAGTTATAATTTGGTCCCATTATTTCATCATAAATAACGTAATGTTTATAATGTATAATAAATCATTGCAGAAAGGAATAATATGTGACATAGCAGGCACAGAAGAAGCAACAAAATTGCAAGATTGGATTCAAGCAATCAAAAAAAAAAAAATAGAAAAACCGACCCAATCTCTATATCACCATTTAGAATAGCGACGCCGTTACACATATTTCCTATTGTTATTATATATGCAAATTTATCAAATAGCGAACGAAGATTATTACTTTAAAGTTTTTTCGCAAATTTATCTGAACTTACGTTTTTCTTTCGTGTAACGTGTTGCACCATATATCAGAAGAATTAATTCGTTGTCATCTTGTAGTGTAAGAAAATATGAATAAGCAGTTGTGAAGCATAGCTGAAAAAAAAATAATACAACGTAACGGTAGCTACCTACGCGCATTCTGTAACACAGCACTCTTTAGCACTAATGGTATCATATTTTTATGACGTTTTCCAAAGATTTAAATTTCCAAAGATTTCGTGAAATCTTTCTGTTATTATACATGGATGGATTTGACATTCAAAACTCTATAATTATTGTTTGAATAAANGGGATGTGAGGTTTTTTTTAAATTGAATATATTGTTGCAAAGAATATAAAATATTATAAAACTTTTATATGAGACATTTTTTCATATACTTCGTACTTTAGAAGATATTTGCTAAAAATGAAATGTCTGTTTTTTTCGAGAGGTTGTTTCAACTCGTGAACGTCGAGATACGCCGCTAAAAATAATAATATGGGTCTTTTATTTTTTGATACTCTACAATCATATCCGAGGCCCGTAAAAATCGATGAGATACTGTTACGACTATTCCCTTGTAAGATGAAATCGACGATTTAGAATAACTATGGCAACTAACAGTTAATGCTGCCGATGTCATTCGCGAAATTGTAAACATTTTTCAGAAAGCTCGAAACGATTTATTAATTAGTGCTAAAAGGTGTGTCACAGTTAACGGTGGAATTTTTATGAACCTTCTATAAAGCTTTAAATAAAGTAAAGAACATTAAGCAAAGTTTACTTCATAACTTCTTCCGAAAGCAACACCAACCCCGTAACTCTGAAACTATTGGGATTTGAACAAATGTTTATTAGACATTTTCGATTTGTTTTCATGTGCTAAAATCGTTGTATCACTTTAGGCAATGAGTTCAGGAACACCCAGTGTATGTTGTTTCAACTTAAAGATGTTAGAATAACATAAGGAGAATAATTTAAAATTGTACGTGAAAGTGTAGTTAAAGTAACTTCTAAAAACAGTTGCTGGAATATATTTGTCCGTATGATATGAATAAAATAAATGTTACATTTTAATATTTTATTTCATGAAGACATGTTTTTCTCATGTTAGAGATTGTTTTGACAAAGCCTAAATCTTGCGTTCTTCCTATTGCTATTTATCATAAGTCCCGCATCTACCTAACGCGCTACGTAGCGTTGCTTATATTTCTTATGTTACATTAACACATAAATGAAATTACTTTAACTTAAATTCAAAATCACTATGTTTGACTATTACATATATCAAAGTTTATTGCCTTATTTGAAAAGTCACGTTAATTTATGTGAATATTAAGAAACTTTAAAAAATGTTAATCTTTTAAAATAATAATGTTAGAATAACAGAATATAATGTTTCATTTTTAAATGACACACAAACATGTCATATTACTATATTGACAAAAACTTAACAAATGAAAACATTATGAAAATAATAATATATGGACTATGTGTTAATTTGACATTGAAGTTTTAATCAAAAGTTAGTAACACAAGAAAATTATAACGTTTGGAAGGAAGATTTTTTATTGTGCATAAACACGTAGGAACGTGCACGCGCGCGCGCGCGCACACACACACACACACACACACACTAAAAGAGAAAACTGAAAATAATTTAAAATTTATTTAACTCTAAATAAAAAAATTAGATAAAATTTTAATATTTCATAAATATTTTATGAAAATTTAAAAATTAAAAGAATTAATGATATGAGATATAAAAATAAAAATAATTAACATTTATAATAACATTTTTACTATAATTTTTTATTTTCATATTATATACTGCGAAGAAATATAAAAATTTTTTAAAAATAATATATTGTTAGACGGGTTTTAATGCTTTTAATATAAAAATAATTACAACAGAAGGTTGAAATTCGAGGTTTCTATTTTTTCATACGAAATTAAAATATGTCCCAAATACCGGGGACTGTAATTGCCTTCTCTGACACCATTCTTCTAATTGTGATATCTTACAAACGATAGATTGTCCATGTACTATCCATATATACCGGTTCGAAGTAGCAAAATAACTTCTAAAGAGATGATTATGAAAACATTTTTATTGAACATTATTTACTATTAGGGGCATGCAAAAGTTTCTGCCGCCACCGAGACACGTCGCTGTAGTCGTCTAACCAGCCGACTCCCGTACAGTTATTTGTGCATTCATGAAACCAAGTATGGCGGTTGATGAAGTTCATATGCACCTTTTTGTTACTCATGTTTAATTTAGGAAAAAAGTGCAAGTGAAGCATATGGTTCAATATATCAGGTGTATGGCGATACGGTTATTGATGAGCAAACGTGTCGAGAATGGTTTGCCAGGTTTAAGAAAAGTGATCGAAGCTAGAAAACAAACCACGCTCTGGTAGACCGAAAGAATTGGCATACGAGGAGCTGGAATCGCTGTTGCAAGAGGATGCCACAATCGACCACGCAACTGGCGAAACATTTAAAAGTGGATCAATGGCGGTGGTGAAGCGTCTACAGGTTTTGGGAAAGATCCAAAAGATTGATAAATGGGTTCCGCATACTTTAACGGAACGTAATATTGGTCAACGATTGGGCATATGAATGTCGTTACTGCAGCGGTTTCAACGGAAGAAATTTTTGTGGTAACCGGCGATGAAAAATGGATCTATTGCTACAACTCAGTACGTAAGCGATCCTGAGTCAACCCAGACCAGCCATCAGCATCTATTGTAAAATAGGATATCCACATGAAAAAGGTGCTGTTGTGTGTGTGGTGGGATATGCATGGAGTGTTGTACTTTGAACTGTTGAAATCAGGTGAATCCATCATTGCACAACGATACAGCACTCAGTTGACGAAACTCAACGCCGAAATTGAGCGCAAACGCCCATGGACTTGTAAAGGCCGCCCAATCATCCTGTTACATGACAATGCCAGACCTCATGTCGGCGCAACCATAAAATCAACTTTTGAACAGATAAAATGGGAAGTTTTACCACACCCGGCTTACTCTTTAGACTTAGCACCATCCGACTTTTATTTGTTTCGCTCTATGCAACATTACCAACAAAGATTCACCACAGTTGCAGCTGTTGAAAAATTCGTCGCTGCATTCTTCAGTTCAAAAAGCGAGTATCAAGTTTAAAAAGTTTTTCTGTCACAAGAGCATTCATTTGTTACCTGAAAAATGGCAAAAAGTCATTGCTAACGGCCAATGTTTCGTTAAATAAATATTAGGTAAACCGAAAAGTAATCAAAATGTTTTTGATTATTGATGTGTTCATTCACAGTCAGTTTGTGTGGAGACACGGTCCAGTAAACACGTAAGTTTTGTTGCTACGGTCAAGCTTGGTTGTAAATTCTATTTTTCGGAAAAAAAATTTTTGTTCTAGTAAGGAGAAAAGATGTCAAGGCCAACAATAGAAGAAGGATATTTACGTCATTGTATGCTATTTTTGTTCGATCAAGGATTGAAGGCAAACGAAGCAGTAAAAAAAATTAACGACATTTACGGCGATGTTCTAAAACTAAACAAGTGTCATAGATGGTTTAAAAAGTTTAAAAATGAAAATAGGAATCTCGAAGATGTTGAACGAAAGGGACGACTTCAAAAATTAGATGATGAGATCTTGAGGGCGATGGTGAATTCAGATCCTCGTCAAACTATTAGGGAATTATCACTAAAGATCGGCTGTCCATGGTCTACAGTTCAGGATCATCTTCATCGCATAGGAAAAGTGTATAGGCAAGAAATTTGGGTTCTTCATGAATTGACAGAGACGGCACTCGATCAACGGCGTACAATCTGCGCATCTCTTTTGTCTCGGTATGAAACCGATCCGTTTTTGCGACGAATTGTATTGGGTGAGTGCAAAAGTTCGTGCGGAGGTGCAATAGATGGCGTTAGAAGCGGCGTAAAGTTTTGTCATTAATACCGCCATCTCCGTAAGACATATCGNGCGATGGTGGATTCAGATCCTCGTCAAACTATTAGGGAATTATCACTAAAGATCGGCTGTCCATGGTCTACAGTTCAGGATCATCTTCATCGCATAGGAAAAGTGTATAGGCAAGAAATTTGGGTTCTTCATGAATTGACAGAGACGGCACTCGATCAACGGCGTACAATCTGCGCATCTCTTTTGTCTCGGTATGAAACCGATCCGTTTTTGCGACGAATTGTATTGGGTGAGTGCAAAAGTTCGTGCGGAGGTGCAATAGATGGCG